TGAAAACCGCACCTAAATCGGTTCAGCCGTTTCTGAGATTAGATCGCACAAATGCACAGACAAACAGAAAAAAATATCTAAAAATCATTGTTTTGGGTTCTATTGAACACAATAGAACCAAAAACCAAAAAAAATAAAGTTGATTAACAAATCAAGAACCCCAATAATAGTTTTTCTCAAATATCTTCCGTATACAGACAGGGATCAGTTACAATATTGTTATATGTAATAATATAGATTAGAGGTGTTTTACGTTATATTTTTTAAATAATATATATATATATATATATATATATATATATATATATATATATATATATATATATTTTTGAAGTTCTGAGTACTTCTTTTGGCTCGTTTGGAAAAAATATGAGAATAAAATTTTTACGATGCGCACGCAAATCGACATTCTAAAGGCGACATGATGAAGTTAGCTGCATTCCTTTTACAAATAGAGAGTTGTGACATACGAGATGAAATCTTAAGCTATTCTTGTTCTGTTACGTCAAAGAAGTATAACTTCTTACGTGCGTACATAAGTACACACGTTTTTTTATATAGATAGGTAAATTATATTATATATATTTTTCCTAAAATTTCTATAATAATAATCGTCAGATCACTGTGCTACGTACATATAATAAAAACTATGAATATTCATTGAAGCAATCAATGAGTGGAAAATAACCAAATAAAGCAACCTCTTAGTTGTTTTTCTTTCAACAAATACTCTATGTGTAACAAGTAAATTATATATATATATATATATATATATATATATATATATATATAATATCTTCATTGTACCTAAAGACTTTATGGCATCCTTACTAATACTAGCGATCGCCGTAGTTGAAAATCTAGTATCACAGCCGATATCTAGTATACTCGTAGAGCCGAATCTGAATATTCAATAGTTTTTGAAAAATCTTAATGAAATAGTGATTATTATCGATACAGATGCCAAGTCTATAGCTTTTAGAATTTTTGTCTGTCTGTCTGGGAACGCATCACGAGAAAACTACTGGACAGATCTTGATGTTTTACCCCACGAAAGGGATGATTTCCAGGATTAAAACTGTCCTATGTCCTTACCAGGATCTCAATCTATCTTCATAGCAAATTTAATCTAAATTGGTTCGGCGGATTTTTAGTTTATCCATTACAAACAAACATACAAAAAAAAACATTGTTTTTTTTTCTCTTGATAAAATTACTATAGATATACTTAAATAACATTTGTCACGAGCAGTAATCGAGCCCACTGTCCAGCTTAACTGTCCTACATCGTCACCAGAGCAATGGATTTCAAGCTACTTTCCAAGAGGCGATACATCACAGTCAATAAGGCATTCTAACTTATAGACCAGAAAAATTATAATTGTAAATCGAATTGAATTAAATGGATAATATATATGTATATAACATAATATATTCATATGTATGTATATATATTACATGCAATCCAATAATAATGTATGAAAAACTCTCCTAAAAACCTCTAGAAAAACAAAAACAAATCTATCCCTCGGGAACCGTATATTTCTCCGAGATAAAAAGTAACCTATGTGTTATTCCAGACTATAATCTATCTCTGTGCAAAATTTCATCCAGATCCGTTCAGCCGTTCTAGCGTTAAAGAGTAACAAACATACATCCATACATACATTCTTACAAACTTTCGCGTTTATAATACTAGTAGGATATAAGTAATTAAAAAACATGACATATATAATATCTCACTAAATATCGCTCTTTCGAGTATTTAAAACTGAGGGCATTTTATTTCCGAACTGGTCGTAGCCTTGATTTATTGTAATTGACGTTGACTTTGACACAAATAAAATATATGATTATTTTCTAAAGAAATTGTAATAATTATAATAATAACAACTAAAATTAAATAAATAATATTCTATATTCAATTATGAAACTAATTAAAATTATAAAAATGTTTAAAATTAAAAAAATATTGTAAGGTACTTTGGTGCCATTTTTCAATTATTTGAATTCATTTTGTTATTTGTGGGTAGGCTGTCTGTAACAACTATATAATGCCTTTGAGACATCTAACACCTCAGTGTCTCCAGTGACCATGATTGCTGTAAAGCATTCGAAACGTCGGGAACCAAAAATCAAAATACTCGTAAATCCGCGAAAAAATCCAAAAAGATAGTTTTATTTAAAATGTCAAATATTCGCGTAAATCTAAGGAAGTATTATGATTATGACTGTCTGTGTGTTTATAGCTCAACTGGCACTCTTTGAAGTCATTAATAAGAAAATTGAATTGAAGTGTACATTATGGTGATATGTGCTCAACTGACATGTTTTAAAGCCAATTAACAAATAACAAGGGAATTGAATTGAACGTGTACATTATGACAGATAATATAATATGTTTGGTATGTACAGATAACCTATCCTATACAAAAAAATAAATATTTATTATTTAATGATAGATGGCGTTGACCCGCAAACGTCGAACTAAATATATTGTTTTACATAAATATGTATAAACTGAAATATTTAAAATATAGCTAAATTCTTAAAGTGACTGGGACTGTGTATTGTTTAATCATAAATCGTAATAAACAACATAAAAAACTATACAGCGCCATCTGTGAGTTTGCACTACAAACCTAATGTTTGATTTTTCTATCTTTACTAATATTATGAAGAGGTAAAGTTTGTGACGTTGTAGGGCTAATCTCTGGATTTACTGAACCGATTTAGATGGAATTTGATAAGAAGATAGTTTGAGACCCTGGGAAGGATATAGGATACTTTTTATCCAGAAAATCATCCCTTAAGGGGGTGAAAATGAGTATGAAACTTTGTATGGGGAATCAACCTAGAGACAAACCCGAGCGAAGCGAGGGTGAGTCGCTAGTTATAAATACTACATCATTTTATTTTTTATTATATTTTTTCAATAGTATTTTGTGCCGATATTACATTTTATTGTTTTTATTAATATTATGAGTACTTTTAAACTAAAAACGCGTTATTTCTGGCATTTGGTACAATTTTATAAGATATTTTTATTCTCTTATAATGAGAAGAATGTGTTCTATGTGAACCACTAAGAAAAGGTTTTTTCAAATTCCACCCCTACGAAGGTGAAATAAGGGGTTGAAAAAATACCCGAACCAATTTTGACCCTGCCTGTCTTTCCAGGCTTCATTCCCATATACGGCTAAAAACTACTTGTGTGCTTGCGATGCGTTCTTGCCTTTTAGGAAATAATACAATAAAATATGTATGAAATGCGCGTTTTGTTCTTCCATTTTTTTATTGGAATAAAAGGGAAACTAAATAATTAAATGATTCAATTTTGTTAGTAAATTATTAAAAGTGGAAGTCAAAATAACAAAAAACAATATAGGTAGAGTGCTTTTAATACGTTAACAAAACAAAAGAATGTGCTAAAATCACCTATTGACAAAATCCGCAATCACTTACCTAGTTGCCAAACATAATAAAATTATGAGACACCTCCCACCTGTATCACAGTTTTTCCAAAACCATTACTTACAACAACAATGGTAAATCCAAAGAATTATTATTTTTTAGTTTTTATGGGAGCAATGCTAGTATATTGTATGTAAAAATAATTATAGCAATTAGACTTTACCAAGAAAAAAAATGCATCAGTAAAAAAATAAAAAATTCAAAATTTCTACAAAATGTGCCGTGTGTAGTAAAAAAACCGGCCAAGTGCGAGTCGGACTAGCGCACGAAGGGTTCCGTACCATTATCTATAAAAACGGCAAAAATCAAAAATGTATGGGAGCCCCCTTAAATATTTAATTTATTTTGTTTTTTAGTATTTGTTGTTATAGCGTCAACAGAAAGACATCGTCTGTGAAAATTTCAACTGTCTAACTATCACGGTTCATCATGAACCGCATGGTGACAGACGGACAGACAGACAGACGGACCTGAATTTCCAGAAGTTCGAGAGTTTCCAGAATTTTTCAATTTTCCGAGATTTTTCGCCAATTTATTTCCCTAAAATCCCGATACATTTACAAATTAATAACATTTAATTTTTATTTACATAGGTACTAGCGTATTTTTTAATGTTTTGTGTAGATTTCTCAGAGATATTTTCGCACTACGAAATATCCTATATGTTAACCCGAATAACCAGCTATCATCATACCAAATTTCATTAAAATCTGTCAGACAAGACAGACAGAGAAAAATTAAAAAATCTATAGATTCGGCCTCTGTATCTATAATAATGACTATTTCAATAACATTTACCAAAAAATATTTAATGTACAGATTCGACTCAATTAGAATTTTATTATATGTACAAATATGTAAAATAGACACATAATATGTTCAAATCAAACCACATCTAGTTATAAGAAATTATAATGTAATTAACATTGGCTTTTAAGAATCGATTTTAAATTTACATAAACATTAATTAACGATTTCATATAAACTAATGGACATAATTACTAAATTCAAGAAAAATAAAAAAAAACAAGTTCATTTACTTAATTATTTCATCAATTTGATTGGTCGATTTTAACTTGGGATAAACGTGACCCGCATGTATGAACCATACAAACGTTTATCCCGGTGTGTATGGTAAATACTTTTACTGACATTGACGAAAAGCGGAGAGTGTAAGCATTATTCTCTCCGTCAGAAAGGAAAGTGGGTAAGCATATCTTAGCAAATTATTTTTTTATAGGGTAGGCCGAGAGAAAGTAAATAACATCGCTATCCAATCGCCACTTTCTTACAATACTCTTGGCATGTTGGGTAGTGGCTCTCAATGCTGGATTTAACCATACATTATTAAACAAGCATTTTTAATGATTAAGACATTTGCCTCACACCAGAATAGAACTCGCGATCTAGGCGTAATAAATCTCCTAGATATATATCGAAATGCCACGCAATCACTATAATTTGCTATAATTAATTTATTAACATAAGACTTTCCAATAAATGAATTACTAAACTATAATACTCACACCACTTCCTAAGGAATGCACTCGTCAACTTCGCACATAGCTTGTCACGGCCCTGCATATTTACTGTTCACTAGTTATCGTCGAAGGGAAAAAATCACAAAAATCACACAAACACACACAACACAACCACTAGATCCGTTCCATTTATTCAAAAACCTTCTGTGCCACCGAAACACGTCCGTCGTCCTCGGTGGTCGGCTGACAACTGGCTTTTTATTTTTTTTAATATCGCTGAGTTGGGTGCGTATGCGCAGACCTGCGGACAAGGAAAAATAAAAAAAGATCATGGCTTCTTAAAGGTTGAATCGCGATATTTTAATTCTTCAATTATTGTAATTTTAAAGATTATTATTGTAATGATTAATTTAAATTCGAAACGTTTCTTGTAAAACAATTAGCGTAACTTTGTATGCTGCGATAAATGAACTATTCGCGAAATTGCAGTGCGTCCTTACTATGCTGGTAGCTGTGTGAATTAAAAAAAAAACGTAAATTGTGTTAATACTAGCGACTCACCCTCGCTTCGTTCGGGTTCGTTCCAAGGTACCTTAGTATGAAATAGATAGATTATACATATATGTATACATAGATATCAGTCGTTTTATATCCCTTACCTGAGAAATGATTGATTCCCCATACAAACTTTCACCCTCCACTCCCCCATTTCGCCCCCTTGAGGAGTGATTATCAAGAAAAAACTATCCTACATTCTTACCAAGGTCTCAAGCTATCTCCATTCCAAATTTCTTTTAAATCAGGTCAGCGGTGTAAGCGAGAAAAGGTAACAAACATACAGACAAACAGACAGACAAAGTTACTTTCGCATTTATAATATTCGTATGGATTTACGATTGAAAATGCTTTAACTAATTATTTAAATAATTTACGTATATTTTGATTTGTTCCCATTGAATTTTCGTTATAGTCATAAAAATAGTTCTAACTAAACCCGGAAGCAGTTTTATGAAACTTAAATTAAAACCCGAACTGATATATAAAACTAATAAAATAATTAACAAGGTCAATAAAATATTAAAGGTCTTACTGGACCGATTTAGATATTTTACATATATTTATATTACATATTTTGAGATCCTGGAAAAGGACGTAGGGTAGTTTTTATCCCGGAAATCATCCTTTTAGGGGGGCGAAAACGGGGATGAAAGCTTGTATTGTGACTCAACCTAGGGACGAAGGACTGAGTCGCTAGTTTTTCATAAAGAGGTATAATTTGTGAATTTTCATGTTAGAGCTAAACTATTGAACTGATTCTATAAATTCTTTCACTGCGTTATGCCTTATCTTATCTTACTACTATATAAATAATACGTTCTCAGATTTACGCGAATATTTGACATTTTAAATAAAACTATTTTTTCGGATTTTTTCGCAGATTTATTTAGATTTTTGGTTCCCTTGGGTTTTTTTTGGTTGATTTTTGGTTGCTTTGGTTGGTTTATTTAAAATACTATACAGTGAATCCGAAAGTTTGGATGGATGGATATTTGTTACTCCATAACTAGAACGGCTCTGGATAAAATTTGGCATACTGATATTTAGTAGGGAATAGCATATAGGCTACTTTTTATCCCGGAAACATGTAAGGTTCCCGTGGGATATATTTGCTTTTGTTTTGTACTAGGGACGAACCCTAGCGAAGCGAGTGTGAGCCGCTAGTATGTTATAAGCTTTCTTAAATGGTGGCATATTATTGATCTTTGATAGATAAAGATTACGAAGGCCAACCTCGTTGAGACTAGCTGAGTGGGAGATATTAAGCCAGGGGACTGTGACTAATAATTTTTTTGATAGAGAAGCCCAGCCCGATTTGAAACTCGAACCTAGGACCTTCGAATCTGCTGCCGTACTCGGCAACTATTTACTAGGTTTCCTCATAAAGTTTTTACTGTATTAGCAAGTGCTATACCATTGAGATGCATGACCCGAGATTTGAACCCACTTCACTTATTTCTTTTAATTTATTTAACTCGGTTTGGAAGGAACTGCGCCAATACACTGCCGTGTATAAATATAAATGATAAATTATAAATGTTAATTTCTTGAAAATATATTATTTAATTTTATTCTGTTAAAACATTAGTTTTTATTTTCCTTATTGGGCATTGAGGAAAATTACTTATTATATTTAATTAAAAAAAAAATATGTAAATAATAATTGACTCTTCTAACCGGTAGGTAGTAACTTGTGGTATGCGTAAATGCAAAACCATGCCAACTCTCGTACACGTCACGCTCGTATATTATATCATATATTTCATGGTGTTCATTCGCCCTTATCTCGTATTTTACTAGACACTAGCGACTCGACAACTAGCAGTTTAGAAACGTAAATTCGAATTTTTAAGGGTTTTCGGTATAAAACCTACCCTATATGAAGCCCTACAAACTCTTCTATTTTTCAGTGAAAGTCCCATTACAATCGATTAAGCCGTTTCAAAGATTACCACAGACAAATAGAAATACAGACAGACAGTCATTTTTTAAAAAGGGCTGTTTAGGTATTGGTATCATAGAAATAACTATGTACTCGAGAAAAACCACGGACGGGTACTTCAAATATATTTATACATACATACGTATATATAAAAAAATGATATTAAAATCTATACGTCTATATGTATAGATTCTAATATAATTTATTTATTTTTTTGTTTGACCTTTATCTTATAAGTTATACCATTAAATGAGCAAGCTTGTATAGCTATACTTCTATACTAATATTATAAAGGGGTAAAGTTTGTGAGTTTGTGAGTATGTGATTTTGTGTATGTATATATAGCATAGTCTATCTATTCCATCGCAACCGTTAAAATGTACTTAGAGACGAACCCGAGCAAAGTCAGGGTGAGTCGTTAGTAAAAAATAACACACGCACGTAATCGCAGGCGTTGGCTAGTACAAGTATCTTTTAAAGAATCAACAATCAACATTCTTAAGAAACCAATAAAAATAAGCGACAGAAACATATTTTACAGTAATAACCTTAGCATAAAATCTCAAGGTACGACCGGTTTTTTTAATTAGCCTCGCTCTTTAGTCTTTGCTGGGAAGCAATTGTTTATTGGGACATAAAATTTGTCCACTTGTGGGCAAAAAAAGGCGAACGGTAGAAATCATTATTTATATGTATGTATGTATGTATGTATGTATTTATGTATGTATGTATGTATGTATCTATGTATGTATGTATGTATGTATGTGTGTGTGTATGTATGTATGTATTCAGCCCTTTTTAACATCAATACGAGGGGGATCAGGCCATAGTCCACCACGCTGGCCAAGTGCAGGTTGGCGGACTTCATATGACTTTCGGGAACTTGTTAGGTTTTCTCAGACATGCAGGTTTCCTCACGATGTTTTTCTTTACCGTAAGGTAAGTGTTAATTACGTTAGAAATGATTCGCACATGAAAATATCAGAGGTGCGAGAGAGACCCGGGATTTGTACCCGCTTCATTCGGTTTCAGAAGCGAGCGCGCTACCACTGGACTACCACTGCCACTGTCATTTGTGAATCTTATAGATTCTCTCAGAAACTATAAGTCCGATTTGAAAAATTCTTTTTGGATTTTGTAGCCAATCTATTGAGAAAGGCTAAGGCATCTGACCTTTAAGAACGGAGCAATTATACATACTTAAACTATGAAATCAAATGCAAAAGTTTGTACTAAATAAAAAGCGACATTGAAAAGTATTAAATAAAAAATATTTTCACAGTTTTACCACAAAATGGTCACATTAATGAGTTAGAGACCGTAAATGTTTTTTTCTAATTAATAATATTTACTAATAACTGGTTATTTACTTTAGCTCATAGTCTATCTATTATTTGTTATTTATTCTTTTTTTTGATATTTTTTTAAATATTACTTGTACAGTTTTTACTAGTAACATTGTGTTGGCATATACCTGTCATCAATTATATGGGGATGACGCTGACAACACAGTTTTTAACGAGCGCAGAGGCTAGGGAAATCTTTACACTTGTGTATGTGTAAAATTATGTCAATAAAGAATTTATTTATTTATTTATTTATTTATTTATTTATTTATTTATGTGTGCTAAATTTCAAATCGGTCCAGCCGTTTCAGTGTGAAGGAGTAACAAACATATACACATATACAAACTTTTTTCAAACATTCAAACACATTAATAATAGATGTGCGATTCAAACGGTCATCGAACCGACGATCTGGCGCTAAGAATCCACAGATTAACAGATAAAAATTTAACCAAGCAGCCAACAAGTTCTGAACGTATTACGCAAATGTGAAAGTGGTACAGTTTGGTATGACGACAGTAAAAATTAAATAACGGCCATGCGGTAATAATGTTTTTAAACAAATTTAAATTTTAATAACAAAGATATCCTACAAATCCTACTAATATTTTTAAATGCCTAAGTTTGTAAGGATGTATGGGTGTCTGGATGTATAGATGTATGGATGTTTGTTAGTCTTTAACTACTGAATGGATTTTAATAAAACTCTGTATAGATATATCAAATGTTTGGCTCAGTTTGTAATGACCCTACTTGCTATGCCAGTGGTCGCGGGTTCGATTCCCGCTAGAGGCATTGATTTGTGTGATAAGCACGAATGTTTGTAATATTGTTTGTGTTATATATGTGTAGTGTATCAACTATCTGGTATCCATAACACAAGCCTCGTAGCTTACCATGGAACTAGATGGTACTGTGTGTTAGGGTCCCAACATATTTATTTATTTTAATTATTATGAAAAAAATAATTTTTGTTATAATACTTATACTCGTATATAAGAGCTCTCGATGTATGAAATTTTTGGTTTTTAAAAACTATTTTTTTGCAGAAGACGAGCTCCAGAGTTGTAGGTGAGTGAGTAAGAGAGTCCAGTTTTCATACGATAGTATAGAGCAGTGAATACGTAAATAGAAAAGTTCTAGGAGAGAACATACCTATATAGGATTTTAAATAAAAGCATATTTTCGGTTTCACCGATTCATTTTGTTTTTTGGTTCCCGACGTTTCGAATGCTTTACAGTTATACCTCGGAAAC